ACAGGGCCCTCGGATCGATTCGCGACGCGACTACACGCGCAACACCTGTCGCCCGGTGACCAGGTAAGTGCATTCTTCGCGCCATTGTCGCCGCGGCGAGGAAACGCCGGGAAACGACCGTGGAATTCGTTTCCAGCGTGTTTCCGCGCGTCATGCCATTAGCCGGGGCCTTCGGCTGGGTGTCGACGTCCGAGGAAGATTAGGGAAGATGAATGTAATCGCGTCGGACGCGCGGTTTCCTCGGCAGCGATGGAATTAGATGGAATGATTCGAACGCTTCGTTTCGTCACGATTGCTTCCGCGGGATTCTAGAATCGGGAATTGTTCATCCTTCGGAACGCGTGCTGGGGATTCGGTTGTCCGGTTTGATCGGGGGACTCGTAGATGAACGGAGGAAGAGATTCCTCGAAGCATGCTTCCTGAGATATGATCTATCGTTCGCGAGGCGGCAGGACTTCGGACGATGCAGACGATAGAACGGTTCGGTTAGTCGAGGTCTCAATGTTCTGCACGGTGCGTAGAGGAACAATGGTCGAGCGGTCGGTGTTTCAGTGGACTTTGCCGTGTCGGATCGACCCGAGTCGCAGAATAGGAGCGGCGAATCATAACACGGACGTTTGATTACCTGTTGCATCACACCTGTTGCTGTCCGTGCTGCTCGGGCCACGTGACGACAGTGGCCGTGAAAAGATTTTCTCGATTGTGCCCCGGCGCTGTGTATCGATCGCGTGGTCAAGCATGAACGACCGGAAACGTCGGTGTCAATGTATCGTGGCTCGGCCCGTCGCCGAAGGCATTAAACAATATACCACGGCCGCTCTCTAATTTGCATACGCGCACGCACGGAATCATGGGGGTAACGCGTCGGAGCGACGCTTATAATAAAACTTGTTTTCCATATCGCGACCACCGCGTAGGGGAAACACGACCGCCGGGTTGGTTTCCGTTAGACACGCGAAGCGGGCTATATAAATCAGCCATCGCTCATTTTTCATCGATTTTCCAACTTGAACTTGGGGTTAAGCTTATCTGCCGATGCAGGCGAGGGCACGGTTGAACGCGAAACCGTACGCGCTCGGGTATCTCCCCCACGAACGATTGATACGGCGACATGCTGGCGTGTCCAGCCACCTGTCGGGCCCACGTCTAGCGTCGCTCGAAGGGTTGCGACACCTTGCGAACGAGTAATGCTGGAAATAATCTTGTCAATGCTTCGCAGAACCTGATCGTTCGGTTCGGAGCGTTCTTTTTGCCTCGAATCAGACACGCAACGAAGGTGGGAAGAGATTATTCCGTCGCCGAGACGTTTGCGTAAGAGCGAACAAGATGGCGTCGATCCGACCTCTCGCCGCTTACGATTTTTAAAGGAACTCCCCGCTTGGTTTCCTTCGGTAATTAACAATTACGATATAAAAACGCGCGTTTCACGGCGGAATTATTTAGATGATTTCGCCAGCTTCGATGCTCGAGCGCGAACAAAGCGCTTATTATCTCCTTAAACATTTCGCAAGAGTATCCCGCGCGTTTCCGCGAACAAGATGGCGCAACGCCGCGAACAAATAGGAAAGACGGAATCGGGCGGTCTCGCGGGGACGGATCTTTGACCCCGGGATAAATAATATTTTCGATCCTCGGTGTCGATAAACCACCTCGCCGTTTGATCGTGCTCGCGCGTCCTCCCAGGAATCTCTCGATCTCATTGTTCGTGGGCAGCAGGGCAGAAAGCGGCGCTTCCGGTTTCAAGTTAGCCTGCGCACGACGGACGGACAGGCCTGGTTGCATCCTGACCGTCCAGGTAAACACCTGCGCCATATTTCACGTGCGAGAGGATCAAGGTCAGGCACCGGGCCGCTTCTTTCGGGTGTCCGTTACATTCTTCCGTGTTTTCGCAGGCCGCGCACAACGTCCATTGTTGCGAGCCGCGCGCCGCCGTAATTGGAGACACCGAGGATAAACTCCGAGAGACAAGCGAAAATTACCGTTGGCGGCGTTTTCCCGCGCGGACGGTACGTAACCACGGGAAAGGATAACTGTTCCTCCTCTTTTCCAGCGATTTTACGGCCAATAGTCGACGTCGATTACTTTTTTCCTTTCTCTCTTGCAGGGCCGAGGTGACTGGCGCCATTCTTCTCGGCGGAAAATTGTCATGGCACCGGAAGCGGACGACCCGCCGGGGAACCGGAAGTCGCCGTGGGACCTCTCGGAAACTTGAAAATATCGCCGTTCCATGGGAACGCGGCCCGACACGCAGCGTATCCTCCGTTGCGTGTAACTCGTGCAAATGACGAAGCTCCGTGTAATCTAGCCGGTTAGCCGCGCGAAGCGTCTCCTCGCGGACTGTACATTTACGAAGTTCATTTCTGAAACAATGCACAGGGCGAAATCAACGTTACGAAATGTTTCGAAGTCGCAGCTGAAAATCTAAGGAAAAAACCGTAATAATTGGAAGCTAGAGAATCAACCTCGCGTTGGCTTCATTTATAAATATTGCATGAAATCGCGTTACGCCCTCGTGCAACCGAACGCCAACTCCTGCCGAACACGCGCGGCGTTTTACGCGTAAAACGATATCGGCCGTCAATAATCGAAATTAACTATTCATCGACTGTTCGCGCCTATCCGCTTCCGATTACGTGTGTATGTTGCGACCCACGCCGCCCTGCCGCGCGCGTAGTCACACTTTTCATCCGTCGGTTTACGGTCAGGTGAATACGAACGCAGCCCGTGTACCGCGGACAATGGGGAAAGGCAGATGAATCCTTCACCCGCGGAGGATCCGCTCCTTTCGAACACGCGCCGCTCGCAACATTTTGTCACGTACCCGCTGTCAGGGAGTCATTTGCTCGGCCTTTCGCCCGTCCGATTGTTAACGGAGAAAGAGACGTCCCCGCGATTGGGAAACCGCGCGCTCGCGCCGCTGAAAATAACAATCGTCCAGACGCGGACCGGCGATCGACGACGGAACGACGAACGTCGCCTCGCGAGACGACCGCTTGATACGCATCCAGAACCCGTGGGCGACGCCGCGGACGTCATTCTCGAACTTGCAGCTTCCCCGGCGGAGACTCTGTCCTTGACGGCCGGAACCGTGTGTCCGCGGGGGCAAATTGTACGCTCTTCCGTCAGTGTCAATGCCGGGACGGCGGCCCATTATTCCCGTCTTTCGCGCGTTATTCGTCGCATCTGGTAGCACGACGGCCGCCATATTGTACAAATGGTCGCGGGGATATCGCTGCCACCCGCGATGAATAGAGAGATTTGTAACTCGCGGGATAATCGTAGGAAACGAGAGACACTCGGAAACTAACTCTACAAAGATACGGTCGAACCGTGGACAGTTATCTATTTTCGATGGACAGTTTATCTTCCCGCTGAGAATTCTGCTTTCGAATCGAACGCTTCTCTTAGAGAACTTGGAAATCGACTGTAGGAAGACGGAGTGAGATTTTCTAGAAAATTATCTGTTTTCGATGCTCGAGGATTATATCGAATCGATCGTGCTCCTTCGTTTCGAATCAATATTGAAAAAGCACGCGGAGATAAACATTTTCGTTAACGTTCCGCGGGAGAATGGTCAGTTACAGTTTTCCAGAGTTAATTCCCGAGGACCGTAGCGGATAAATATTGACCGCCAGAACGAAATCAGAGGCAGCGCGATAAATATATCAGCGACTTCCGAGTGGACGCGGTATTACCGATGTCGGGCGTCTGGCGCAGTGAAAAAAGATATCGCGGCCTGAAATATGACGGCAATCACTTCGTTCCGGGGCCTGGGCATTAAAGATCGACCGGTGGAAAAGGAACGCGCGGCACCGACAGCGAAATCGCGACGGCCTACCGTGGAACTTTATTTATTTTCGCTGCGCGACCGTCTCATTAGCCGCGTCCGCCGCCGTTCCTCCTCGCCGATTAAGTCTCTGACGAATTACGAGCGCCCGACGGCATCGGCCGCGGAAATAAATGCTTTTCGCATGGAGGCAACTATTTTCAGCCATGAGAAATGGAACGTTCAGAAAAATCGCGACTTTGTAACTTCAATTCCGAAGCTACATAAATATTACGTAAATTTAGAGGCGCTCCCGTGATCGCGCGATGCTTTTAGACTCGAAAAAGAAAGATCACCGCGTTCGAGACTCTTAACTGCTAATATCGATCTAGTTCAATTGAGACACCTTTCGGTCGTCTTTTCGTCGAACCTGACATTTTCCGAGCGTTCCATATTTCTAGTAATATAGCGCAAGATTGTAACCACTGTTAACAGTTGATCAGATTTGTAACCGATCCAATATCTTCTAATTGCAACCCAAGCGTGACCGATAGGCAGAGAAATCAGCCAAATTTCGGGAAACCCGTCGCGCCTGTACACGCTGTTCGAGTTTCGATCTTGGCAACGGGCTCGAACAGCCTCCCGGAAGCTATTATTCTCATTTTGGCTGCTAATGACCGACGCGGCGAAGCTGAGATACCATACCGCATCCTCTGGACACGATAGCACCGTCGCCGGTAATTAGAACCGCACCGATTGTCACCGAGGACCACGGAAGACGACCGACGACGATTCGGGTAAAATAACCGTTGCACAACAGTCAGGCGCAGCGTTTGACGGACGACGATCGCGATCCCGTTTGGCTGCCGATAATACGACCGCGCCGGTGTGCCATTATTATTAGAAACGTAAATATTAAAGTACCGGTCGTCATCGTTATTTATAAGTGTTGCACGATATTCGTAATACGTTGAACTACAAGGAATCCGTATCACGTCCGCGTCCAGCCGTCAAGGTTCCCGAAAACGATCCAAGATCGAACGGCGAGACCGACCGAACCTCGCCGGCTCTTTCCAAAGATAGAGGATCGGAGGTTCAAGACGTCGGGAGTGTCAGAAAGTATTTTCGTATTCGAAACTCTTCGATTTCCCTCGTTACGCGATGGACTTAATTCGAATATTGAATTCGTGGTCGAATTCGTTCCGATTGCTCGAATATATTTCTTTGTTGTATACACTGAATGAAGAATATATATTCTTTCTTCGGTATTCTCTTAGGTTTCGCAATAAAATCGAGGAGACTTTCCGGTACCCTTAATAAATGATCTATGGGAGTGCTCGTCGCGTTGGCTCACGATGGTGGATAGGTGTGTCCGTCACAGCGTCGAACGTCGACGGGGAAATGCATCTGGACGATGGCCAAATACAAAAATAATCCGAATTTCGACGGATCCGCCGATCATCCTCGGCCGCGTCGTGTCTCGCGTTCGTCCACGGCCGCTGACACGCCGCTATCGACGATCTCCTACGCCGGCGTTTCTTAATCCATCATCCGCGACCCCCGCGCATCGCGAGTAATCGAGGGAAAGCACGCGAAAATTTGAAAGTTAATCGGTAGACAGCGGATCTCCGTGCGAAACGGAGTTTCCTAACATGGTCTGGATAAACAGGGATTAATCAGAAACTGAGTGTTTCCGACAATCCCAATAAATGGAAAACAAAGTAATAACAAACATCTCTACATTCTACATACTTGTTTCCATCGCGAACGTAAAATCCGCCATCAATCGATGTTTCGAATATTCCAGACGCAAGTATTCAACCCCTAAATACCGAGTCTTCTAAATACTATTATCCAAGCTTCGAATATCAGTCTCGCCCCCATTTTCTTGGTTTCAGAGAAAAATCAAATACCCCGAAATCTAAAGTGACCAACAAACGTCACCGTCGCTTTCCACGCTTAACACTGCCACGTCACCCGAATTCGGGTGACATGTTTCACAGAAACGGGACATCATCTTGCTAACTCGAAACCGAATTTCATTGGATACACGACGTACAAGAAAGACAGCGTGATTATTAGGAAGAATCTTGACTCCTCAGTTTCTGGTTAACGAAGGAAACTCTCTCTAATACATGGGAGTTTCGACGAGTATTCGCGCGGCAGTCGAAGCGTTAAAATGTCGCTTGACCGACAGTCAACGATCTGAATCGCGAATCTTGCGTTAGGGTCAAGATTACCGAAACGCCGCCCACGGGGAGCGCAACACGAAGAAACGTTGTCCCACGCGATCGCGACCAACGCGGATTAGACCAGCGTCCCGTCGCGTGTTCCGCGAATCATCACTATTTCTGTTGTGGGCAGGCCACGGCCACGTGTGCCGTGCGACCCACGGAACGGTCTCGCGACCGTCCACCCCCCGATCCCGAATCGAACACCGGCCGTATAAAAATCACGGGCAACGTCATCCCGCCGCGTGATTCACGGAATTGAATTCGGAAGGCGGTCTACTCGACCTATTCCGCTTTTCAGCGGCGGCGTCGGGTTGACGCAACGCCGGAGGATCGCTCTAACTTGTCCCCCCTCGCCGCCCCCCGTTCGCCGTGTTCGATGACGATACGCGGCGTATCGGCGGGGTTACGCGCCGTATTTTTAAATCGCGAATCTTCCGCGATCGCCGCCTATAAATCACTTCCCTCGGTCCGCCGCGGGGACCTCGGTGAGAGTTCTCGCCGAGAGAGCGAAGAAGCGAGGCGTAGAAGCTCGGAGAACGCCTCCGTGTGCCCGTCGGTGTGTGCGTCGGGCCGCGGTACAGCCGCGAAAGAGTAAGAGCGAGAGGCGGCGAGCGTTCTGGGTGGGAGCGAGACCGCGGCGAAAAGGGATGGAGGGGTCAAGGGAAAGAAAGGAGGGGGCAGAGAGAAGGATAGACAGCGTTTTGAGACCCCTCGGGTGACCAGTTTAGTTCTGCTTGGCATTCGAACCGCACGAGAGATCATGTGACAGAAGAGACGACCAGGATCCTCGCCGCACCTCGATCCAGGATCTCAGACGCCGCGCGAGACGGGAGCAGCCGGATCGGCACGATCGGCCCCGACGATCCGCGCACACCAGTCGCGGCTCGGCGTTGACCCCGTGTTCCTCGGTTCGCGACAGTGCTCGACGGGAGAGATCGACTCCGTCGAACGGAAACGCGGCTCGTCCGGGGACACCCGTTTCCTCGGACGCCTCCTCGCGGTTAACAGGAAGTGGCGTGCGAGGCACGCTCGTAACTCCGGGGATCTTCGTGTGGATCGAGGTATATCGAACCTCGTCGTTTGGCGGACCTGTAGAATTAACTCGTTACACCTATCCAATTGTTCCGGAGTACTCCATGCTCGACTCCCCGTATCCCCTAATTAAAGACTAGCTCGCCTAACGAGGACAAAGCATCGAGGCGAACGTCGAGCGAAACGTCACTGTAAAAACTCGTCGGTACCAGGAAGCAGATATCCTGAATCCGAGGAGGCCTCTCGTTCGAGATCTGGAAACTTTCCAACGGCGTACCCTAAACATCGCCGGCGGACGTCGTTATCCTACGGTCCTCGTAGCTCCGAAGATGATCGCGCCGGAGAGCTTACCCAAACAACCCGTTGACAAGGCGGACACGTGCGCTCCGTTTTAAGTAAACGGAACGCGGCGCGCTGGAAAGAGGAGCGAAAGAGGGAAGGCAAGAAAGGAGGAAGGCGGCGTCCGTCGCGCCGCTCCGAATGACACTTGTGAAATCCGCGCGCACAGTCTCGCGGAACCGGGAGCAGGAGGGTCGTTGACAGCGGTGTCGGCCGCGATAAACGTACCGGTGCGGTCGGGCGCTGCTACCGCTGCCGTTTGCGGCGGCCACGTCGCCAACCGGAAAGAAAAGGAGCAGCTCGACCGGCCCGGCGGAGAAGGAAGTCGGCTATCAGCTGGTCCCCTTCCGGCTCGATCGATTCGGATCGGGATCGGGATCAGGATCTCCCGGCGGCGCGTCTCACGGGGAAGCCGAAAGGTCGCGGGCCGAGCAGATATGAGGTCGTCCCGCCGGTACACGGTCTAAGAATATACGCCGCGCGCGAGCGGATCGTTGAACCGGGGCCTTCCTTTCTTTCCACGTGTCGGGAGGACCGAGTGAAATAAATCAGAAACTTTCTCCGCGCGGCGGCCGTCCACTCAGCGCCAGTGCTCTTCGCGAACTATGTCGGGAGACACCACGTCCGACGAGGAGGGATCGCAGGAGGACTCGCCGCGGTACGACGTCGACGACCTGGAAATGATCAAGACCATAGGTGAGCCGATAAAAAGTAGCTCGGTCCGTTGTTGCCCGGTGTCTTCGGGCTTTCTATTCCGGCCTCGAAGAAAGCGCGCGTTCGGTCTGTTATTCTCCTCCATGGAGGTTTCGAGTTTTTCATAGGGGATAGTTCGCGTAGGAAGCCTCATGGTGAACACACCGTTCAAAGGTTGGAGCTACAGGTTTTCGGAGGCGATACGGGTATTTGGGTCATGGTTTCGTCGAAGTTACAAAATTAACTGCGCGAAATTCGAATGGGTGATAGGATATTCGACCGAGGATCGACCATCGGGCGCGAATGTGGTCTGTGCAGGATAGTTTAATTCTCCCGGGTTAATACTCGCCGCAATCCTCGCCCGAGGAAAATGTCAGAGACGAGGCCAGAGGCGAACTACCCTCGCACCGAGGAAGTGGGCCACTGGAGAGTGAGAGGCCACCGAGTGTGTATATTTAACTGCTCGTTAAGTCAGAGTTACACGAGAGCCTCGATCAGTAAACTGCAGGTGTTCCCGTTGGTGGTTTTTCAAACATTCCGTCGGGCTCTCTTGCGAAATAATTATTTATATGGCGGGCCGTCGACGATGGGAACGGTTTAGCGCGAACGGGTAAAAGGGGGAAACGAAAGAGAAAACGAGAGAAGAAATTATTAACAGACCACACTCTTTTTCTCTCTCTTTCTCTCTCTCTTTTTCTCTTTCTCTTTCTGTTGGCGGTGTTTTCGGGGGCGTCCTGGTTTCCGCGTGAAACCCGACGCGGAACGGGCCACCGTTAATCGCCGAATAATGGCCGATGGAAAAATAAATCTCCCCAGGCCGAGCGTACGGCACTTCATCGTCCCGTGATCGCGCTTAGCTTGAATCCGCTCGTAAAACAGCACGCCGCGGAGCGGCGAAGATCGATCAGGACAGATGCGCCGCGCCGGCCAGGTCCCGCAAGACGTAAAACAAGTTTTGGATGCGCACCAAAATCCTCTCGAGTGTCCGCGTACACGGGGAAAAAACGGGAGGAAGCTGCGCGTCCGCCGCGCGAAACCCGACCGAGCCGACCGCGGGATCATCGATGATCGGATGAATGGACGGGGTTGCCGGGCGTATGGCGCAAACGAATAAAACGCGACTGTTAACCCTTTGAACTCCGGAATAGACTCTCAGTCGCCACTCGGTTTGATACAGTAAAATCATAAAGTTTGATGTTTAACACTAAATTATTTCCATTAGTAACAAGCATCGTCTATGTTTTGTCAAAGAGTGTTGAATATTTCTAGTGAAATATCAAAGTAAAATAGTTTTCCTTTAATTTATCGATTCAATTATTTCCATTAGTAACAAGAATTGTCTGTATTTTATCAAAGAGTGTTGAATATTTCTAGTGAAATATCAAAGTAAAATAGTTTTCCTTTAATTTATCGATTCAATTATTTCCATTAGTAACAAGCATCGTCTATGTTTTATCAAAGAGTGTTGAATATTTCCAGTGAAAAACTTTCGAGTGCAAAAGGTTAATATTATTACTTCGCGTCAGCATGCTGTAGAACGGGGAATTCGGTTTTCCCGTTGACATCGACGTTTGGTTAACCCTTTACACTCGAAAGTTTTTCACTAGAAATATTCAATATTCTTCGATACAGACGATGTTCTTTGAAACTAATGAACGAGAAAACATAAATTAAGAAGGAAAGTTATTTGATTTAATAGTCCATATATTGATGCATTATACAAAGTTTAATATTAATATAAGACTAATTTTGCAAATCAAATCAAGTGGTGACTGAGAATCATCTCTCGAGTGCAAAGGGTTAATTGATTCGTTAGTCGAATTAAGTCTTAAGATTTCAACTAGGAATCTTCTTTTCACTCTTGACATGTCTTTTGACTTATTTATACTCATTGAAGTCAAGTTGGAACAGATAAAAGCATTTCTGTTATTGATGTCTGATTTCCTATGGTTTACGGAAGTCCACGTTCGAAGAGATTGATCGTTTCAGTAACTGAAGTCTAATTGGAGGATACACGGTACGAATGCATACACCACGCAATACAAACATCGAATCAGATTGAACGAAAATTTTCTCTCACGGTTCGACGGTGGATAAGGTTTAAAAAGTTATCCGCCAGTTTTGCAACGTCGCCGAGCGCTTCCCGCGGGTCCGAAGGAAACGCGTTGCGTCACGAGCGTTTAACGTAGATAAGGTCGCCGTTAACGAAAGAGAAATCGCCGGTGCCCTCCCCAAAGCCCCGGACCTTGAGAGCCTCCGCGAAGGAAGACGGTCGGGGTAATTACGCAAATTTCGAGCGGCCGGATCGTTGAAAAGCATCGCTGCCCGGAAGCAGCTCGTCGTTTTATCATTGACACCTGTTCCCAAGTTGTTCTGGCCGTTTCCCACCGGTCCCGGGTGCTGCCAATTCCGACGCGAATTATAATGACGCCGCGCTGTCGCGATAAAACGCGTCGCAACGAGGCAATTCACCGTTTAATTCGGGCGCCGAGGCCCCCTTAATTGGTCGTGGTACGGTGAGCAGAGGCCCGGCCCCCAGTCACCTGCGTTCGTGGGAAAACTGCATTAACACGTTCGCTGGCCATGGAGAATTGAAAACCTTGCCGCTAAACAGCCGCTGCTCCATTTTTGCCCGCCTCCAAATCGTACATCAACCGGCAAACATGACTCTTGCACCACACGATAATAGCTGCCAAACGAAAATTCCAATAAATCTCCCGGTCGCGTGGAACAAGCGCTAACCGACGTGGAACTTCTTTTCGCGTGCGTGTTACAAATTACGCTAAAGAAACTATTCGGATTGGAGCAAGATCTGTTTACTTTCAGCAACTATTTTAGTCTTCACTCGAATGATCGCTACTTCATCGATAATAAAGAAGTGAATAAACGTCAGGAAATGAATGTCGGTAATCATCGATCGAACGTGAACAACTAACGTCGGGTGAAGCAAGTCGCAGAAGCTGAGACGCCGATCGGCGTCTGCCAGCGGTGAGCGTGCTAAACAGACCGAGCAGATCGTGCGGCCGGAGAGAGCGTTGATAATTAACGATCGGGCAACGGTGATCGATAACGAGCGCGCAACCCCTTTCCTCGGGGCAGCGGGGACTCGTCACGCCGGAACGATTTGCACTTGACTCGCCAGATGGTCGCTGCGCGATCGGTACCCTCGACTAGTCGATTTTGCGCGATTAGGTAATCCGGTGGTTCACGTTTCTACGAAAGTATGAAACGTGTAATTCGATTATTATCTAACCGAACGGTCTCGGTGTCGTGCGACGCTTGGATCGACCTATCGGGCGCGTGCCGACGTCGCTGGTCTGGAGATAACGATTTGAATGTTTAATTAACGCCAGAAGCGGATCGAGAGTTTTATCTAGTTTTATAGCTGTGTATCGTTATGCTTTAGAAGCTGTCTGTCTTCGGGCTATAAAGGAATAATCTGAATGCGACGAATTGTTGAACAAATTGAGTTAAGGCTCACGAGTGACTTAATGACTTTCCGCGGCGTTATCGCAGATCCCGAGCTAACAGGCGAATCGTGGAGCGAGTCTCGGAAGATTTGATCTCCGGTAAACAGCGTGATGCAAATTTGTTCGCAGGTATGGGCACTTTCGGCAGAGTGGTCCTCTGCAGGCACCAAGGGACGCCATTGGCCCTGAAGATCCTCTCGATGGTGGACGTGATCCGACTGAAGCAAGTGGAGCACGTGCGGAACGAGATCACGGTGCTGAAGGAAGTGAATCATCCCTTCATCGTGAACATGTACGTGCCCGCTTACTTTCTCCCGCGCGAGAAATCAATAAGCCGCGATTTTGCGGGATACGTTTCCAAGAATAAATTACCTAAGATTTCACGTGAACCGCGAGGAAGTGTATCGGCTCTACGCACGCCCGGTAATTAAGAAAGTTTGCGCGTTTGTCGGTCGAAAGAAAGAAACTGAGGAAAAGAAAGCGTAACCGACAGCGACGAGAGTGATACCCGTTAATCCCCTATGAACGATTTGCGTCATTTACCGTCTAATTAGCAGCCATCGGGAGAAAACCGATAGTTCCGCGGTACAATCGGAAGGAAATGTTCCTCGGGAAACTCGAGTGTCGAGCTTCTCGAGAACAATGACTAACTTTTAATATCTAATTCGAGAAGAAGGTACTTCGATGTTCCAACGAATCGATTGAAAACGCGAGATTTTCCAGAGAAACGTTTATCTTAGTCTTTGCTCCTGATTCTCGAAGGATTTCCGTTAAAACGATGCACTTTCCAGGCTCTGGAGCGGAAGGGACGAAGCGAGAGTCTACATGCTCCTGGAATTCGTGGCCGGTGGCGAGCTCTTTTCTTACCTGAGAGCAGCTGGCCGATTTTCTGGGCCCACCAGCTGCTTCTACGCGGCCGAGATCGTGTGCGCCTTGGAATACCTTCACAGCAAACACATCGTTTACAGGGATCTCAAGCCTGAGAACCTCCTCCTGGACAGCCAAGGCCACCTGAAGATCACAGACTTCGGCTTCTCGAAGAAGCTCACCGACAGGTATAATCCTCTCGCGGGGACCACTTTCGATTTAATAATAGACCCGTTATCTACGCTTCATTCACCCGAGTCTGGAGTACTTACAGTCGTGCGTGCGCTATCACGCGTCGATTGCAATCGGCGGAACGATAACGCGGCTGGCGTAAGCGGACTGATATTTTCTTTATTCCGGCACCGTTCACCTTGACATTCGGAGAGGAATGCGCGTTGCACAGATAAGCGTGAACTGATACTTGAAATAATAATGACTAGAGCGTACCTGCGATGCTATCGCTTCGAGAGCGTCTCTTCCGTATAGTTTCATCGATGTTGTACGCTTGTTTAACTATGGAACCGTGATAACCGTGAATGATAAATGTAGCTGTTTCACGCGACACGATGGCGAGCGGAGATAATTGTTGTCGATCGTTATCGCAGAACGTGGACGCTGTGCGGCACGCCCGAATATTTGGCGCCCGAGATCATTCAGAGCAAAGGGCACAACAAGGCTGTGGATTGGTGGGCTCTGGGGGTACTCATCTACGAGATGCTGGCTGGCTTTCCGCCATTTTTCGACGACAATCCCTTTGGCATCTACGAGAAGATACTCGGCGGGAGGATAGAGTGGCCGAAACATATGGACCCTATCGCCAAGGATCTGATCAAGAAGCTCCTGGTCGCTGATAGGACCAAGAGATTGGGCAACATGAGGCAGGGTGCCGATGACATTAAGAGGCATCGTTGGTTTAAATTGGTCGAGTGGCCATTGGTAATTTGCTTTGTATTTATCAGACGTAGATGAAATCATTCACGAAATTTATGGAACCAAAGTTCTCGCGGTGAAACCTCAAAGATTTGGAGTTGATCATGTTCACCTGTGAACGTTTCAAATGTTAATGTAGACTCTTTGATTAGTTTAACACGTTGGATGCCATGGTCACCGGTGACGTCAACCAAATCGAATTACTATAATTCATTCACTTAAACGTAATTACTAGTGATACTACCTAATGCAGTGACATTCAACAAGATAAACCTGCAACAATAATAACGAATTTCGATTATATAATTTGATATTAGATTATTTTCATTTTGTATATTTTTCTGGGCAAAATCGTGCGGCGCTCAACGTGCTAAGCTTCGTTTGTTTCTAATAAACATTGATGTTTGAATTTCACTTAATTTCGACGTAGATTTGAATTGAGTTTATATTTATATTATATTATTAACAGGTACCCCAAAGGGCTCTAACTCCTCCGATAAGACCTCGAGTGAAGGCACCAGCTGACCCAAGCTGTTTCGACGACTACCCGGAAACCGATTGGCGGTCGCAGCCGGCGCTGCCACCGGAACAACTGGCTCTATTTCAAGATTTCTGAAGCCGTCAGAAACGATCGAACTGTTTAAAACGCGAAGAATACCCCGACACAAACTATTTCTGGCAACTGCAAAACACAGGATCGCCGATAGCGCGTCAATGGCGTCGCGCGCGATCTGTACAAAATGGCGGCCGCTGCGTCGGCTCTACGCTTCGCCTTGTACATAGACCTTTTGTATTTCGTTCTGCGTTATTTATTTGTACGTGCCGCGTAGCGCGCGCACTCCCCGTTGTTTTTCGTTTCTTTTTAACTGTTAAGACTTTGCATCGAGACACTTGTAAATAAAAGCTGGAGGCAGAGGAACGTGACGGATCGGAGGACAGAACAGGGTTCAATATCGAAGAGACGACGGGCGGGAGACACTCGACGCGTGTGTTTCTTTCTTTCCTAACGCTTAAGCGGCGGAAGAGTGTCGACAGAAGTATAATATAATTTTGTAAGACACGCGTGTCGCAGTATTGTTACAACGTGTACATGTGATACGAAATTGTTAAGAATTAAATCGTGCACTTCCTTTTTTTCAATGCCGACTCCGACAGCTTCGCACCGCGGCGAATCGATTCTCTCCCTTCCGCGTGCGACCCGGATACCATCGCTGCGATGTGATTAATTTTCGAGAAGCCGATGAATAATTTACAACGAGAAACCGCGCACGCGACGCCCATCGGGCTCCGATAAAACGCAACTTTCCGCGCGGACGGACGCCAGTCGGCGCGAATCGATTCGAATCGCGTACGCGCGTAGAAACTCGAAAGTAAACCTCGTTGCAATTCGAAAAAGCTGAAGTTCGATTTACGATTAACGACAGATTAGTGATTCCGACGCGATCATGTCGAACATGTTGCCTGCGAGGTACCACGCGTTCGAGTATCGCAACGAGGACTTCAAACGACCGCTCGGCAGGATGACCGACGTCGTCGACAAATCGAGAGAAGCTAATGACACGCTAAACGACAAGGATAACATCCCAACGAACCGAGGCATCGTGACCGACTTCTTCGAGAGCACATCTATCCACGGTTTGCAGTATTTCGGCAAAACGGACGTGAAAGTCGGAGTGTTCGGGAAGATCCTGTGGGTCTGCACTATGGTCTTGGGATTCGCTTGTCAGTGATCGCCAATCCTTTCGTCGGTGATCCTCGAATATCTAATACAAGCGACCGCTACGTTTCAGGCTTAACCATGATGGTATCCCAATTTCTGAGTCGTTACTACGAAAATCCGACCACCACCTACATAGAATCGTTCCACACTCCGATCTTCACCGCGCCGTTCCCGGCTGTCACTGTTTGCCCGTTCTCGCCGATTCCCGAGGAGAGGCTGATAAAGATCATGGACGGCATCCTCATACCTGAAAACATGACCAAGAAAACTATACTCACTCTACTGAAGTACGCGCTGGACGATGGTCACCGAAATTCGCAGACAAGTTTAACACGTTAAGCGCCACGAAAATCTGGGAGGTTCTCCCATAAAGTTATTCTCCCGTAGCAAAGAAAAGCAGGAATTATTCACGATTTAGCATTGCAATCCTTGCATTATTATCAAGTTAATCGCGTTATTAAACATTTTCATTAGACATCGATTGTCTTCAAGTAATTCAAGAGCATCAGTCATCGGTAACTGACACGGCGCTTAAAGTGTTAACTAGTCGATTAATTAATAAGCGACAACGTTTCGATTGCGACTGCTCGCTGCAGGTACGGCCATTTCATAACGCTCCCATACGCCGTGCAGAAGTACGGGGAGATCAAAGATTTGAAGAAATTGTTGGACGCTAATCGATGGAGCGTGTCCGATTTTCTGAAGATCCTGAAGCCTTGCGAGGACGTCATCCTCTCTTGTTGGTGGGACAGCGAACGTATCGATTGCAGCAAATCTTTCACGATCTCGCACACGTCTTACGGGCTGTGCTGTTCTTTTAATTATCTCCTTGAAGATTACGTAGGCCGCGATAAGCAAGTATATTTCAGATTGCTTTTTCGGTTAAATTGCCTATATTTGATGGTAGGTCGACGTTTGACGTGTTTTTTCGCAAGTTAAGTATCCAGGAAGCATTTAGTCGTTCGACAATTCGCGAATTTATCATCTGGTATTTACAATATCGTTATTCGTTCGTTCTCGTGGCATTCAGGAAACAACCGGGACCAGTTCCCCTACAATCTTTCAACTACGGTCGCAGGAGCGGCCTGAAACTGCTAGTCAACACCAACAACAATGATCACAAGTTGCTTTCCTTGAATCAATCGATCTCGAGCAACGAAGGCGCATGGGTATGCCGAAGCAGCGATACTTTTAGTGCCAATTAGACGTAGAAAGTCAGAATGAAACTCGATTTAATGATATTCCCCTCTAAACTGTTCGTTTGCACGTTCTCCCGCGAAGACGTTGAGAAAGTAACACCTTCTTTCATGTCGTGGACAGGTGTTTATCCACCATAGCCTGGACTTTCCAGGACTGAACGTTAATACGTACACCTTGCAGCAGAACCGCGAGTTGCAGGTAACGATCGCATTTCCATTGTTTAACCCCTTGTCCTGCGACTTATTTATTAACTGTGATCGATACGACTACTTTTTCGGTAATCATTTATTAGAAAAAAGAGAAAAGTAGAGTATAAAATTACAGAAGAACAATATTTCATTTGAATTCACAAGAATTTAGTAATATTTACACTTGTAGAGTGTAAAATAACAGAAAAATTATATTTCATTTGAATTCACAAGAATTTAGTAATATTTACGCTTGCCAAACTCTATTGAAAGCCTTCGCCACGAGTCTGGCACGTTATCATACAACAAGGGGTTAACAGTCACGTCGCATAAGGTCCAACCTATTGAACGAACAACATAAACTTGCGCGCAGATCGGTATAACTCCAGAGATCAACAAGAAATCAGTGGATCTGTTCCATCGCAACAAGAAGAACGAATTCATCCCGCTTTGCATTTCGGAGAACACGAATACCCTCGAGTACTTTCCAATCTACAGATACTTGAACTGCTACGCAGAGTGCAGGATCAAGACGATGATCGAGATCTGCGGATGCGTGCCGTTTATCTATGATCACCTGGTCAGCCACCATGATAAATTACGTGTAAATACTCGAAACACTTTCCCTCCGCGCACGAGAGTTTTATTTCTTTTTTACACTGACAGCGTCGATTTCAGCCGTGCGAGATAGACGGCCTGATCTGTATCCAGGACAACTCGAAGAAGATCAGCATCATCAAGGACGTGGACATGCCGAACATGACGTGCTCCTGCCGAACGCCCTGCGAGGACGTCATTTACGAAGGTTTCCCGAACTCGGTGCCATTGATTAAACCGGAACTTGCGATCAGTTAGTGAGTAAACGGTCAATTTCTGATTAAAACCGACGACCAGATTGTAGAGACCACGTCGCTGCCATTTAACACGTTGCGCGCGGGAAACGTAAAAGAACTAAATAAACACTCGTACAACTTCATTACCATTTTCGATAAAAGTAGATAGTTGATTCCTCTTGCGTGCGATCGAAAGTCTATTCGCAATGGAAACTCTCGAAGATATGTTGAATAACAAATAAACGAATTGAATGGCCCGCACGGAACGTTACAAGGTAGCATTAGATGATAAAAGAATCTTTATTTCATCGTATCTTGTACATGCATAGCCTTACAAAACGTCGAGACAAATTGGGTTCCAACGGACTTGAATCGTGTTTCAGTAAAAATATGACGGACAACGACAGCATCTTAAGAGTCTTCATGCAGACGCAAGTGTTCCCGACGACCGAAACCTTGGCAGCAGCTGACGAAGTCTATCTTCTAGGTAGAGAACCCTCTAAAAACCATAATGCTACACGCGTGTACGAATCTTCAGCGTCTTTCCCACGTTCCAGCCTCGATAGGAGGGATCTTCAGCCTGTTCCTCGGCTGCAGCTTCCTCAGCCTGGTGGAGATCCTCTATTTCATCAGCCTGTTCTGTCGCGCCGCCTATTCCCGCCGGAAGCTCGGACCCGCCAAGGACGAACAGGCGCGAGCGAGCCGCCGCGAGCACAGGAACGGCCAACGGAACGTTTATTAAATCGATGGCGGATCAATACAGAAACCCGTTCGCCACCGACCGCCGACTTTCCCCTCCCATTTTTCTCGAACTCCCGACACGCGTCCGCGATTTTCCCCGGCACCGATAATCGGATCGACCCGGCCAGCGGCGGGCGAGTTCGGCCAATCTATTGTGTAACGCGGTCAGCGCACGGCGAGGGCCGCCGAGAATCTGGAGCAATTAGATCTATTTCGAGCGATTACTGGAACGCCGCGTAGCCGTTTACATCCGAGCCGCTCGTAAAAATATTTACCGCGTCGCGTTTCCGCTTTGATGTTCGGGCCTGCTGTCAACGAGGCCTTTGACAAACGGCGGAGCAGAAACCGCGGATCACCGGGGACAAGGTGTACTGACTATACGGAGAGCGGTCGCCTCGTTCCCGTCGCGACCGGAAGTCGCTGGTTGGCAACGCTGTCGGAGGTCGTAACTCGATTTCCAACGGAGACCGCTGCGTCGCGATCGTTCCGCGGGAAACAGAGGAACAGAGCTCTTTATCGCGGTCTATTTATAAGCGGCGAGGTATTCGGAGCGTTTTGGAATCGAATAAATCGGTAACACGATCCAGGATGGGCACCGCGGAGCGTTACGCAACGACCGCACACGAACGTGCCGGTTTTTCGACTGGGTACGGCAATGGTCGGACAGAGGCGATCCTCATAACGTCTATTTTAGGGAGTGCTGTCGAAAACATCGATTTAGATCCTCGCGGGAACGTTACGGCGGTACACCGGTCAAAAGAGCTGGAAGCTTCGTCTATTTTCGAACGACCGCCCACGCGTTCCGCGCGCGATCGACCCTGTAACGCTTCCCATCCTCCAGGGATACCTCTTCCCTCCCTCCTCCCCCGACGCCGAGCCTCAAATCAGCTCCATGCGTTTTTTCGCTCTGTTTATGACAGCTTGACAGCCGCTCCCGTCACCTCTGCGCGAGAACGTTCCAACAGATGTTCCGATCGCGTGACTCGTGTACTCTCAAAGATCCCGCGGCTCCTTTAATCCTGCGCCCGCTCGATCCAACTTCTCGTTGCTGCCAAGGATCTCGCTGGAAATTCGGTTCGCCGTTCTAGCACTGACGTTCCGGACTGTTTTGGAATTGTTCTGTGAATCGAAGGTGCTGGAGATACGAATCCTCGAAAAATGGTAACCTTTCTAGTCGGAATTCTACCGGAGACGAACACGGAACTTTTAGTCGGTAGGATTTTAAGTTAGTACTTGATCTATGAGCCATTTCGAAGCCATTGTACCACCGTTTCCAGTTGCTCGCAAGAATCGGTTTCTCCAAGCCGCGTCCGATCCACGGGATCGTGAGGGAACGAAATGCAGTGCACCAGTCTCGTTCATTTCGCAGAGCGTTTAATATAAAAGTGTGCAATCAACGCGGACAGAGTTAAACATGGGGGCGCAAGGTGTGTCCTGAGTGGCGGAAGACGTCCGGACGTTCGCGTGCTGCTTCCGTGCCTCTTCACTCCTGAAATCAACAAGAACTCAATGACTTCCCACGAGAAAACCACCGCCGACATTACATTCGAGAATTCGCGAACGACGTCGAAACAACGAGCGTCGCCGTAGAAACTCAAGATCACTGAGCCCTGAAACGTACCATCGCAAGGAATGTACGCTGCGGTTAAAACAATCCCGCGTACAGTAACCAGAGACTGATCAGCAGCAGGATGAGGATGAAGTACGTGGTGAGGATGTTCCTCGTCTCGTGGGCCGGCTGCGGCATCTTTCAGGCTTCGAGATCCGTACTGCACTGGAAACGGCAGAGAGGTACATCGATCAGCCAAGAAAGTCCACCCTCGACCAACGACTCAACCGAAATCGCGATCACTACTCACGGAACAACGTCGGGGATGCTTCGCCGGTTGACTATCCCTCCGTGTATCCAACCGATCCGTTTCCCGTCAATTTCGAATGGAGACGCTGTCGTGGAAGCGTACGGCGACAGACTCTCGAGTCAGCTACCACAGCAAGTCAGCTCGAAGGGAGCAAACCGCGCCACTTTGCGTCCGATCTCCGACTAGATCACTCAACGCAGGATCCACCGATGATCCCGAGATTCCTCCAGGAACCCCGTGTCTCGGCCCCCACCCGGGCTCGTTTCGTAGACACCGCGTTGCACCTTCCCTTGTAACCTCTGCTCCAGGATTGGTAGGCCACGGTCCCACCACCGTTCGCTGATGCGAAACCGACAGGTTCCGCCGCCTCGGGTTATATTAAGCGCCGGTGAACGTCGGTTACGGCTTCGATGGAAAAAGCTTCGGAACGATCCGCGGATCCCCGTTGTCGAAGAGACGGCCGCGGGTTCAGGGTCACCGCGGACCTGGTAAACACTCGATGACGCGCCGCCTTTCGGTGCATTCGCTCCGGCCTCCTTCCCCGGGGATCGCGCGGCTCGTCGAAATATTCCATGGAACGCGACAACCGGCCGGGAAAAATGCAGGCTGAGAATAACTGCGACATCGATCACCCTGCAACTCGGAGAAGTATGCGCTGCATGTAGTTTTTCTTCGGCGAAGGTAGATTCGACGGAAGATTCCGTTGTGTACGATCTAAGAATATGTGTTGCATCTCTTGACACTGGAACTAATCGAATCGACTTTATTCGGTTTTCTGTATAATCTATAAGAGTAATCATCGTAGCTCGGTGTGCGCATTGCTGAATCAGCGTCTGTAGCAGCTCGGAGGAGCGTCGGTCGGCTTTTCAATAACTGTAAACAAGAAACGGGGATCGGTCATTTCGATCCATCTGGTAGTTTCAGTTAAGCTTTCAGCGGCGCAGTAAATCATCCAATTTAATCGAGAGATTGACAATCCAGATAAACCGAGACTCTAGAAGAAATTCCTGGAAGCACGCTTGCAAAACTGGATTGTACGTGTATCTCGGTGAGTGATCTAAAAATCTGAATCACTGTATCCGTGAATAATCGACGCGAATCGCGAAAAACACCCGGTTGATCCGGGCTCCGCAGCACTCGGAGGGTCGAGGGCGGTTTTTGTGAAACGCAGAACGCATCTGTGTACATAGTCACGGTTAATAAAGCGCAAACGAGGCTTGCCGTTGCCGGAGGGCTAATTTGATTCTAAAACAACAGAGGGGACGGCCGATGTCGCCGCCGAGGGGCCGAAAGGCATCGGCTCTTATTTTTAAACGGAGATACTCCTGATCACGCCCACGCGACGCCTTTGAATCCGTGACGGAATTCACGTGCGGCGCCACGATATTTTACACGTGACTAAATATAATGATACCGTTGGAATTTCATTCCGACGACGAGAATTTCTTGCACGACGCCGTGTCAATTTTCACCCTCGTCTCGTGCACATCAAACGACAGAAACGCCGTTCAACGGATAATCTAATTGCTCGGCTTTCATCTCGCGTCGTTTCCGAAACAAATTCGCTATTCTTCGGTATAATTACACGTAAACAATCAGAACCGGAGAAAGAGACGTTTGCCTCTGTGCCTCGAGACTCGTCCAAACAACGTGTAGTGTTTCGTCTCGAGTGTTCCGGTGTCGTTTGAAGTTTGACTTGAGACTAGATTACAGTAACAATCGATCTACATAGCGAAAGCTATCTCGCGCACCTTTCAATCGCAGCTCGTTGTTTACTCCGAGCGAACGGAGACGCAGAAATCGAGCATCGAAAAAGTCCTTCGATTTGATTGATGCGCCGGTTATTCTGGTCGGGACAGGCCCGGCGAGCGTTTCGCGTTTGATTAGACCGCGGAATGGTTCTTCCCCGACTAATGCCTCGGCCGTCTGCCTCGTCCATCATTTCCAGGCCTGGCCGCGTCTAATTTTAACGCGTAAACCAAATATTATCCTCGATAGACAATGTATGTACTTCGATCGGCGCGGCCGTTACGTAACGAGCTTCATCGGCGATCATCGGTTCTTAACGCACTCCGGTTGACTTTTAGAAAACCGTGCCCGGCGATTTCCAAGGAGATCAACTTACGCGATCGTGCGTAAAGCGGATTGTTCCTGAATATTCAACGCGACTCGAACCGTCGATCGCCGGGGCGGATTGATTGCAACGGGTCGATCGCTGATTTAGAGGTTATTAAAATCGACCGGTAACGGTACGAGGGATTCTGTGAAATATTCTCCTTTATTCGTGTCGCGATGTAGTTACAATTAATGAGAACGGAGAGGAAGGGGAGCGTCGGACTGGTAACTCGAAGTGGCATAGATTAACGCGTAAATCAAGGATCGTCGGAAGAACACGAGACGGAAGGTTTGTACGTGGTAGTTGGCTGCACAGGTTTACGCGAATATGGCGTGTGTACGCGATCAACATTGTCCGGCGCGCGGCGCGGCGTACATAAATTACAAGTATGCATCGGTCTACATAAATATTAAACAGCCGGAGTCTGGAAGCGCTTCCATTGGCACGAAAGAAACCCGTTTCTGTGATGCTTGAATTCTTGGCACCGGTGGCCGCCCACGTTTTAAAAATACGAAGCGGCGGCGAAGGGAAACGATAGGGACGGGTTCGCCCGAAACCCAACGACGTTTCGAGTTTTAAGAAACTTCGCACTCCGCCGGTGATTCGAAACTCTCGACGCTCGTTGTATGGAATAAACCGCGAGGATGGATAAAACGAACCTCAGCGTGGGCGTTAGTGTTAAAGAAGATTGTCGATTAGTCGACTATCGTTATTAAAGTTATTTTCTAAGTAAGTCTAACTACAATCTAAGTAAAATCTAGATAAAAGTGTCGAGAGTCACCAACCCCAGTTTCGAAGCTGCACGAAGCTTCGGTTTCGAGTTTCGAGAAGACATCGCGGGGACGCGATATAAGGCCGACTGACGAGCAGGATCGCGCGGCTCGCATCATCCTACGATTTCCTACTGACTCAGCTAGATAATGGATATCTATAAGTACGGGGATGTTCGTGTACGAGTCGCGGACGTTCGCTTATCTGTAACGTTCGGTTGCGTAACCACGAAACAAATATCGCTGCCGCATAGATACTTAAGGCTACGTGTGTGCGCGCGCGCCGCGTGTGTATGTACACCGTGTTTGTCTTAATTATCATTGCGTCCATTAGCTAGTCGAAGCGTATTTTATTATCGATAAGTTCGAGGAAGTCGGAGAGTCATGCAAGGGAAAATCCGAGCACTTCTTCCAGCGAGTAGTCGAACAGCTTTAAGTCTAGTTTGTACAGATCGGCCAACTTCCGGAGTTGCTTGTACGTCAGCGTCGAGTAGTATTTTTCCAGCTTCTTCGAGGTTGGCTCGCTGTTCGCCGGCTTCCCTGGGAAACTGCGGAAATGATCGAGTAAACATCCGCGTCTACGAAATATCATTCGCTTTTTTTTTCTATGTTCTATCTATCTATCGCTCGCTCCGTCGCAGATAGCAAAGAGCAGTGATATCGCGTATTAAATAAATATTTATGCACTCGTAATAAGTGATACACCGGGTCAACAGTCTGATTCATGACTTCTTTTTGTATTGATGCTGCGATAAGAAGTTGCAGCGGTCGGTCGGAGTTATCAGTTATCAATTTTCATCGGTTAACGGTGCATTGCTTGCCGTTACACCTAAGTTAACACTACCGAGCATTTAATGCGATTAGTATGCAATACCAATAGAAACTGTAAGAACAGATTATTCTCAGTTTCTTCAGACATTCATTGTAGTACTCAAATGAAACTATTTATTCTCAAAATCATTTCGAATATTCAATGCTTCGGAGATATCAACAATTGCTAAACAAAGAAATCGAAACGTGTCATTTTGACTGGTACGTAGTTCTAGTGTTGAAGGTACGAAATTTTTCGTGATTTACCAGTAAAACCAGCAGACTACTGGAACTGATTTCTTCATGTTGCAATTGATTTAGCAATACGGAATTATAAATCAATCGAAGTTCTCGATAATTGCACTCTAAGTTTCCGTAGAGGGATTTCAAACTGTCAGTTTAATTGCTCGGTAGTAGTGTTAAATCGTTCTTAGTCATCCGCGAACTCGATTATGCGAGTTAGATTATGCCACAGAATATATACCGAATATTGCGAAAACGCTTCGAAGAATTTGCTTCTCGAACCTCTATTCGTTCGACCTGTTAGTCGCACGATGAATTAGGATAATCGAGGTTCTACTGTACTTTTAACCCTTAGCACTCCAGATTCCTAGCGAAAATTAGAAATGCTATAACATTCCTTCGATCTTTTATTTTCCTTGTTAAATTTGGATGTGTAGAAAATCGAATCATTTTAGGGTAGTTTCTTTAAGATTCATTCAAATATTTAATATCATAACTGGTGCAATATTGGAGCCTACAGAGTTCAAAGAGTTAACACTAGAACTGGTTTTTCTCGCAATTATTGATATCTTCAAAGCAATGAATATTCCAATTTTGAAAATAAATAGTTTTACTTGAAATTACATATCAACCGTAAATGCTCGGTAGTTTTAGTATTAATCAGCACGTTTCCTTCCCATTTCCGTCTACCTTCAAACCGCAAACCACGATACTTCGGAGACTCACTTGACAGACTCGACGCCCATGCGTTCCAGAACCTCCGTCGCGTCCTCCACCAAACTTTCGTACTTGCTAACGAGATTATAATTAACTAAGCACGGCTGACACAGCTCGTAGATCGGATTCCAGTGCTCGTTTCGAGTTTCGTTGGAGGAATCGTCGGTGACGAACTCGACGAACTCGGGGAAAGTCACGTCGTCGCCGTTCTTCAGGGAATGCTCGGTGGCGTTCTGCCTGTACCTCTGTTCACAGAATTTCCCATCGTCTGATATTCAATTCACTCTCTCGACCTTTTGCACTCGGGAATTTTTCACCAGATATTCTCAACGTATTCCGATCATAGACGATATTCTCTGACTAATGAGAAAGCAAACGCGCGTTAAGGAAAAAACTATTCTATCTCAACACTTCACGCATCGACGCGTTATAAGCTTAATACTGTATGCAAGACTTTATCATTTCGCTTATCGAATCAAGTGGTTACTGAAAGTCACCTCTCGAGTGCAAAGGGTTGTTCAGGAAACATTTCGCAAAGATACATTTATCGCAATATGCAACTCATCGTTTCCGATGGAAGAAAACTGGAATGGTCTCAGGATGCCATCAGGAAGCGAACGATTAAAATCAAAAACAATGTGACCCGCTGACCTTAATGATCTTCCTGCCGAACCGCGACTGAAAGTACATCGAGCTCTTCTCGTGTTTCGCCTCGAGCTTGTTCCTGTAGGCCGACAGCAACCTTTCCATCGGGTGCCTGACCACTATCAACTTATCGTAAGTCGTTAACATTCGTTCGATCTCGGGCAGCGTGTAGTTGCTCAGCCTTTGGAAAGTCCCCTGCGAGTGGGCCTGGTCGGCTGGAATTTCCAGGGGATCGTTGCCCGGCCATTTTCCGGTGGCGATCATCAGAACGCGCTTCCAGTTCGTGCAGGCGACCTTAGGAACGAACACAATGAGTCTTTAACGGCCGCGCTAGGGACCGAGATATCTCCGGCCTTTTATTTCGTGTCAGAGTCCAGGGTTGCGAAATACGATATCTAATTATCAACTGGAAAGCCGTTCGCGAAGGCGACCGCATGCGGTCGCGAGTTAGAACTATGTGTTCGCCTGAGCACGTTAATAGATCTGTCAAGGATTCATTGAATATCAGCCGCGCGAGCCGGCCAACTGCACCTTGTAGGTGATTTGAATATTATTTTTAACGTGATATTCCACAGGCTACGGTAACATTCAGTAAAAGGATCGATTGGAGGTTTGAATAACCAGACACGTTCGAATAAAATGTTGTGCACGCCGGTTATTAACCTTTTTGCACTCGAAACTTTTGCACTGGAGATACTCGACATTCTTCGGCGAGATATAGACATTGTTTGAAACTGATTTAATTAGAATTCGTAGATGAATTAACGAAGGTTTTTTAACACTCAGGCGACCATCTAAAGAGAACTACAACCTCCTTCGTTATCTTCAACTCGTTCAATTAATTGGAAACTGTGTTCTGCGGAAACAAGAACATTTGATGAATTGCAAATAATCCCACTTCAGGACTTGCTGAATAACAAAAGAAAAGATAAACAGAACAAAAGGCAATATGTTGCTAAGTGAACAGAGACACTTAGCTATGCAACTTCGCTAATTACCACAGCATTGAAAAAAATATAGAATTTAATTCGAATTGATTATCTATTTAAAATATATTACATAAGAATATGATATCTGAGTTTTTCTATGTATAGTGATATAAGTTGATCTCAGTGAAAATTGCCATCACAATTCAGTTTTCTGAAAATTAGGTGGTCCGCAATGTGTTAAGTATTTCCTATAGCACGAAGTTTGATTTAACCCTTTGCACTCGAAAGTTTTCCAATGGAAGTATTCAACACTTTCTGACGAGATATAGGTCATATTGTTCGAATCTAATTTCACGATAAATCATAGATAAATTAACAGAGGTGTTTTATTTAAATATTTCACGTAGCAATGCAAACTTTAATTTGAAACATTAAATATTCAACTTTATAGTTTTGTTGTATTGAATCATGGTGACTGAGTCACCTCTCGAGTGCAAAGGGTTAAAATACTAATTCAACTTCATAGTTTGTAACAAATCAAGTGACGACTGAATCCCTCGAGTGCAAAGGGTTGATACCTTGGTTTCGTTTATCATTGTTCGAACACTTACTTAATCTACCTTCAAGAGAATATATATATTTATAAACGATGAACAAATAGAGAACTGCAACTATGCATGTTCCGAGTAAATATTCAAATCATTGGAATGTTCCAATTAATTTCAACATTGATATTCATATGTCAATATTCATATCAAACGAATCTACTAAATCGAGCATTCCAAACATGCGTGAAGGTAATGCACGCCAAAAGAATGTTCTAGAAAGTACACTATAATCCGAATGTATATCAATTTAGGATTCCATAATAATCGCGCAGCACACGGAAACACCGTTGATACAAATAAAGTATTCCTTCTACACCTTCGACTTTACTCCCACCGTAGTAAAAGCATTCTTCACCGGCGCTGTCGCAATTCAATATTGCCGGTAAGCGATTCCGTCTTTCCCCCGTCTCCCATTCGCAGAAAACCGCTGACTTCTGAACTTTAAGGTAGTAAAGCGTTTAATTGCATCGGTCCCATCGCAGTTTTCACAGGTTGCCCGAATCGACCGACCGTGTGGAAACTTCGACAGTGTATTGCGCTGTTACCTTGGGCACGTAGCAATAAAGCAGCTCGTGCTGCTCGTCGACGAGGATATTCCTGAAAGATTCCGGGTCCGCGATCTCGTTCGCCGCGTCCGCGTCGCCGAGAATCTCCTCGCAGTTGTACTGCACCCTCTCCTGCCGTTCCAGGAGGGCGGACCTCGCCAGAGCGTTCGGCCCGGTCCAGGAATACATGAAGCTCTCCGCCTCGAACATTCGCCGCCGCTCATCGTTCGTCAAGGTACGCTCTCCTACCGCGTTCGCGTTCGAAATAGACACTGATATGCCGAGGACAAGCAGGACTGTACCCCAAACACTGCATCCTGCCATCATCCCTCCTGCCCACCCTGGACATTGAATCACTTTCTTGGCGGAGGACAGTTATTCGTGAACGGCTCCTGCAACGAGGGAAGCGGATGAAAGAAATTCACGGGGTTTTACAATTAAGTTTCTTAAAATCTCTAGACGGTAGCCATGAAAACTCTGTTTTCTTGTTGTTGGTATGTTTACTTTGTTTTTCTATACTTTACGGATACTTTGACTTTGACTGCCGCGTCACTAGAATTCGGGTGACATTATTTTTTACGGAAACTTGGACATTGATTCTTTTGATGACGTACCGAACAAACCGAATTTTGGATATATGAAATATAAGAAAGATAGTGGAGCAATTATTAAGAATTTTAATTTCTCAGTTTCTGGTTAGTGCGGAGAATATTGAGTAATGGAGATATTTGGAAGTAGTTTATCAAGAATTTATGATTTAATGCGATTGTAGTTCTATTTGGTCTACGTGACTTAATATTTTGTTACTGATATATTTGGGTCTAGGTCGTGTTTGAAAATTGACCAGGATTTAACAATGACAATTATAAATTTGATCGAGAATTTGAAAGTTTCGTTGCTTGATATTTTATAATTGAGATATTCCCTGTGTTCTTCGGAATTTTACCACGATTCAACGATGATAATCATGAATTTAATCGGAGATTTGCAATTTACGTGGTGTAATATATAATTAAGACGTTTAGACTCTATCTGTTACGGAAAATTGATCCTCAATGATAGTAACTATAGACTCCATCGTTTACGATGAAGACAAATCGAGAAAGAATCGATTCGGAGCGATCCTTCGTGCGCCAAATTCGCCTACGCCAGTAATTGATAGAGCGGTTCGTGCGTCATGGAGATTAAGTCATCTAACTGTCCAGCTAATTTGCATGTCCAGCGGAATATGCATGAACGGTGCTTCGGTTTATCGAGTCACGAACGCGGGAAACAGTTTTTATATTTGATAAATGTACCCGACCTTGATTCACAGTCGTCTATCGTCGAGTCTATGTCCCCGGCGAACAAAACGAAGCGATAGCCCCGGTTGATCGACGTTTATTGATCATTCACTGGGAAACCTTTCGTTTCGCGTTGACATTAACATAAACAGAGCTGCGCAAATCGATTCCGATCGACAAGGAAACACGGGAGACCGACGGAGGTCTATTTAATTAAACGTTTATTGGTGTCAACTGGGTTAGCCGGTTACGTGTCTCGGCGACACGAATCCTTAGTTATCGCGGGAAAACTTCGAACAATTACCGAATCGAAGATCGTTGGAATCAAACAAAAGGATCAAATGAAACATCAAATTTGCACTCGTGTAAAATATAAGTGTAGAATATAAAACAGAGAAATATCCTTCATCCTCAAGTAATTAAGATTATTGAGATTCAAAAATATTTATTTCCCGTAAACATCCACCGTCTAAACGTAACGATCGATCGAAGACAGCTGAGCTTCCGATCCCCAGCAAATTAAACTCCTGTAAAACGGATTCCGAACGGGCAGCGCACGGAACGCTTCACATCTGGATATGTGGAGCAGTGTTTTCCCTCGACAGCCGCGCGCCGGACGCCTGATTCACATCGTTTTCAGGTCAACGATACAACCGATCGAACCGTCTCTGGAACTGCACCGCCTCGAAAGACGCGACCTTTTCGGGCCGTGACATCGTTTCACTTTCAAAACGAGGAAAAAATGGGGAATCTTTATATCGCGGCAGAAAATGTCACCGCGGCTGAACCCCGATAGCCGATATCACAATGCGCGTTGCGAAACCGACAGTTTCGCGGAGGAGCGTCGCGTACGATGTTTGTTATTATAAGATACGCCGATCGGTTAATCGGAGTTAGGATAAAATTACCCGGCGAAAGTTGTATTTTGCAATAACGTCCGCTCAGCTTGTTTTACTCTTGTATAACGCGCTCGACGCGTGTCGTAACGTTTGTTGCTTGTTCAAACATCGGACCGATCGAAACTGGTTGCCAAACTCCTCTTACCGTCGACTCTCCGAGTATCGCGAGCGAACGGCGCCGGAAACTTACGAAAATGAACGTATTCGACGGTGGATATCCCAGCTCGCACGAAGACGCACGGATTTCAAACACTTTTGCGACCGTTGGCCGGCGGGCGTCGAAAAGCAGCGGAGCCCATCAATGACTCGCGCGATCGACCGTGGAGCTCCTTGCTCGGTGGTCGACCTTGCTCGATCGCTAATGAATGAACAACCGACGGCACATTAGCGTACCCCGTTGCACTCCTCCGGACGGATCCGGCAATCCCCGGTAACCTTTCGGTCGTCGTATCCGG